ATGGTAAATCTGTCGAACGCACAGGAAAATACGGTAAGTGCTGTGTGCTTTACATTTTCCATTGCTACTTACACCAGCCCTCCACTGGGAGGTATTTTATGCCCATTTTACCAATGAGGAAAGGGAGACTCAGAAAGTAACTCACCCAAGGCCACCCCAGTGAGAAGGCGGGGACGTCAGCCCCAGCCTGCTCATCACAAAGCCCATCATCTTCCTGAGCAAGCAGGAGGCGGAGGCACACATGCTGCACCCTGGAGGCCCTTGAAAGCGGCTGAATCACACTCACCTTCACATGCCAGCACCCCACAGTGCCAGGCCCAATAAACATCAGCATAGTTTGCATAGACCGGCACAGATCAACACGAAGAAAGCGAAAGACTGGGCAGAAGCAGCTTAGAAACAAGATGGAATGTGCAGTACAGGCCACAGCCCGACGGAGGGCAGGCACAGAAGCAGCGGCCTATGAACCACCTTGGAGTCCTGCCTGTGCCTCCCCGACTCCTCCACAAGCCTCCGAAACGTGCAGAATCCATTTCTTCCCCTGCATCCCTGGAATGACTGCGCTCAGTGCCCATTAGCTGAGCCACCTCAGTCTCCAAAGTGAGTCTGAGTCTAAGCTTGAACCCTCAAATCCACCTGTCCTCCACACTGTCCCCACAGAGATCTCAAACCTCTCCCTCAATGCCTCAGTGCTGCCAGCCCTACCTCTGGCAGAATAAAGCCTGAGCTTTGTCATGTGCAGCACAAGGCCACCTGTGGTCCAAGCACACTGCACCTGTCTAGTGTCACCGGCCCTTACCCACCTCCCTCTCTTCAGTCTAGTAACAATTGCCAGGCTAGGCGTGGTGGCTCATGCCTTGGGATCCCAGCACTTTGCGGGGGCCGAGGTAGGTAGATTGCTTGAGCTCAGGAGTTCAAGACCAGCCTGGGCAACACAGTGAAACCCTGTTTCTACAAAATAAAAATTAGCTGGGCATCCTGGCATGTACCTGTGGTCCCAGCTACTTGGGGACTGGGGTGGGAGGACCACATGGGCCAGGGCAGTGGAGGCTGCAGTGAGCCAAGATCATGCCACTGCACGCCAGCCTGAGTGACAGAACAAGACCCTGTCTCAAAAAACAAACACAAAAGCACAGCCGTCTGCTGCTGTCTCACCCATGCAACGCTGCTCCCATTTCTGTTCCGTCCTCCTACCACCCCTCTCTGAAATGTGTCGCCCGCGTCCCTTCAGCTGGCTCTTACCTAGGCCCCCAAGTCTCAGCTTCAGGATTACGCCTTCTAGAAAACCTGTCTGCACCTCCAGGTTCAGCCAGGAGCAACCCACTTGAACATTCTGTCTGTAGTCTGCAGTCTGTGGCTGTCTGTAGTCGTCACCCTGACTACAGTGCACCCACCCATTCACCTTTCATCCCCAGTGCCTGGCACACAGCAAGCCCGCGATCATATTACGTTTACTGAATGGAACTGACAGGCCAGGTAGCAGGTTACTGTGGTGGGAAGGGACAATGATCTGAGCCATGACTGAGACAAAGAGCAGGGAGAGGACAGAGCAGAACACAACAGGCATTTTTAAAACACATTTTTTGCCCCAAATTTTCATGCTATAATGGATACTTCCCCACTCCAAACACGTCTTACATTCTTGCCACCCTCTCCCTCAAAACACACAGTAGGAATTTAACACAATAAAGTAAAAGAGCATGCCTTTAGGAATATACTAAGGCCACCTAGTATCTACAATTATGCTACGAAGGGCAGCTAGACCGAGAAAACTGGAGGTGGGGAATCAAAGAGGAATTTCTTCTTTAATTTCTTTGGAAAAATCCAATTCTGCCTGTAAAAGCAATACAAACATAAATTTAAAAGGTCAAAATTCCCTCACACTAGTCTTCCTTGGCTGTAGGCTACTGCTATTTTTAGATCTTCTGCTATACCCAGCTAAGACTATACATAGAAACGTGCGCAATGTCCTATATATGAGTGTATGATCTAGAATAGTGTATAAATCCATGATTCTACACTGTTCACATAAAATTATACACATGCACAATTTCTAAAATAAAGTTATAAACATGTGTTTCTGTAATTTGACTTTTTTCACTCACGTAATATTTTGCGGGACATTTTAAATGCCAGAACCTACAAAATGACGTCAGTCTTTTTTAAACACAATCTGCTTACCATGAATGTACTACAATTTAATAAACTATGAGGATTGAGGAGAAAATGCTACAGTAAGCATCCTTGCACATTTTCTGGTAATTTCTGCACAGTAAAATCCTAGAATTGCTGAGCCAAAAGGTAAGGCAATGAACAAAGTTGCGTGTGTGTGTGTGTGTGTATGTGTGTGTGTGTGTTTTAGATGAAGTCTTGTTCCGTCACCCAGGCTGGAGAGTGTGGTACGTGATCACAGCTCACCACATCACTGCTGCTTCGAGCTCCTGGGATCAAGTGATCCTCCTGCCTCAGCCTCCCAAGTTGCTGGCACTACAGGTGCATGCCACCGTACCTGGCTACAGCACACAAATGTTTCCCAGGTGTGAAAGGATAAAGGTAGAACAGGCAGGACGTGGAGACTGCCTACATGCAGGGTATGGGAGAAGAAAGGACTCCAGGATTCCATGACTGCGTAGATGGCAGCATCATTAATAATCAAAAAAGAGTTCACACCCCAGGTGTGAGCTGGAGTAATCCAGCAGAGAGGGATGTACGCAGGGTGGAGGAAGGAGCTGTGGCCAGAAGTGCAAATCAAGACAGAAACAAGGAAACTCCAGCATTTAAGGAGCGATGGAAGCAACTCAGCCGGAAAGGCTGGAGCAGGCAGTTCCGAGGCTTCACGGGAACGCAGAGGCCTCGAGAAGAAAGGCTTTGAGGCAGACTCGGTGGGTCGAGGAGGATTTCCAACTGACCACCTGATGAGTGAATCGGAGATACCGAATCCCCTGGTAATAAAAATTCTAATGACAAGGTAGGAACCAACGCTAGAATCAAGTGGACTGAGGAGACACAGGAATAAAGTGAAGTACACCTACTCTTTCGAGAAGCTTCGCTGTGAAGGCAAGGCAGGGGTGGAGGGAGGGACAGGGCTGTGCTCACGTTTTGAAGCGAGTGACCTGAGCGTGAGCATAAACTAAGAGGGGTGAGCCAGTGAGGTGACGGGGTTCAGATGCAAGACAAGTGGAGAATCTTGAGACAGAGACAAAAAGAGCCTGCAGACAGAGGCGTCAGCCTTGCACACAAGGCAAGTGCAGGGGCTCACGACGTACTATCTTGGGCTTCCTCGCATGGGTCAAAGGCAAACGCAGCTGGCGCTCTGGGGACAGGACGGTAATAGACAGCGGTGCTTTCCAAACCTACGTCCACAGGGATCACCTGTGGATCTTGGTAAAGGCAGATTCTGTCAGAAGAACAGAATTCAAGCTCCAGTTCTAGTATTTATTCTGTCACGCATCGAGTTAATGACTTAATTTCCCTGACCTGCACTCGCAGCCGTAACTTCCCAAGCTGTGAGGATGGAAGTGGCCCTGCGGGAGGTCGTCCACGCGACGAGGACAGGGGCGCATCTATAAAGCCAAACCACCGAAGAACGCAGCGGAGGCACAGGCAGATTTAGCACCGAGAACACTGTGTCACAGGGGGAATTTCATCTTCTCCAAAAGAAGCAAAAAGACAAAAACTAGCTTTCGGTGAGGAAACTATGATTTTCAAAGGCTGAGAGAAAAAAGTTGATGGGGCATATTACAATTGGTACACTTATGATTCAAAATGGAAAGACAAAGCCTTTGAAATAAAGTTAATGGAAAAAGTTTTCATGACGATGCCACTGACTTATTCAGGTATGATATGTGGCTTAGCTTTCCAAACTAGGCGGAATGTTTAAAGCTAGGTACATCTCTCTCTCTACACACACAAACACACACACACACACACACATCACACACGTCACACACCGTCTCACACGTCACACGCACACACGTCACACCACACACGTCACCACACACACGTCACCACACACACGTCACACACGTCTCACACACGTCACACGTCATGTCACACGCACACACATCACACACACCAGACACGTCACACACAGTCTCACACCACACACACACGTCACACAGTCACACACAGTCACACACACACACACACACGCACACGTCTACAGTGCTGGATAAAAAATTAAAGCTGCAGAACAACTTTGTGGCCTTTTTTTTTGTTTTTAAGGAAACTCAATCCTAAATAGATTTTCAGCTGTTTTATATCTGATGGAATCTGTCTGCTTTATTCTGACCAGTACTGTTTTAAGCCTATAGAAGATTTGTTTGTTCTGCAGACAGGGTTTCGTCATCTTGCCCAAGCTGCTCTTGAACTACTAGAGTCAAGCAGTCTACCCACCTCAGCCTCCCAAAAGTGCTGGGATTACAAGTGTCAGCCACCATGCCTGGCCCAAAAAAATATTTTTCAAAAAATCATTTTTAATTTTCTTTCCCATTTCCCCTTTCAGGAATGAGGAAGAAATTTTTTTCCTTTGATCCAGGGTCTGACACTATTCTCAAGGCTGAATACAATGGCACTATCGTGAGTTCACTGCAGCCTCGACCTCCCCAGATAAAGTGATCCTCCCACTTCACCCTCCGAAGTAGCTAGACTACAGGCATGTGCCACCATGCCCAGTTTTTTTTTTTTTTTTTTTTTTTTAAGAGACGGGTTTTGCCATGTTGCCCAAGCTGGTCTCAAACTTCTCGACTCAAGGAATTCCTCCACCTTGGCCTTCCATGAAATTAAAGGCATGAGCCACCATGCCAAGCCAAAAAGACTTTCTTTTTTTTGAGACGGGGTCTCACTCTGGCTGGAATGCAGTGGTGCAATCTTGGCTCACTGCAATGTTTGCCTCCCAGGTTCAAGCAATTCTCCTGCATCAGCCTCCCAAATAACTAGGATTGTAGGCGTATGCCACCACGCCTGGCTAATTTTTGGGTTTTTTAAATTTTTATTTTTTAAAAAATATGGAACGCTTCATGAATTTGCGTGTCATCCTTGTGCAGGGGCCGTGATAATCTTCTCTGTATGGTTACAATTTTACTGTACGTGCTGCTGAGGCGAGCACTCATTTTTGTATTTTTGGTAGAGATGGGACTTCACCATGTTGGTCAAGGCTGGTCTGAAACTCCGGACCTCAAATGATCCACCCACCTCGGCCTCCCAAAGTGCTGGGATTCCAGGCGGGAACCGCTGCACCTGGGCAAGACTTTTCAATATAGGCATTCATAAAGTAAAATCCACAGCGATGAGAGAATGATCTCAGAAGTCATCCCCTCTCCGCCACTGTCACTTCACTGCTTCTCTTAGCCTTTGTCCTAAAGGCAGAACTGGGGGCCAAAGCTTGTGTGTGGCCGTTTATTTGGAAACAAGTAGAGAGATGAAACACCAGGCAGGAAGGCCTCGCAAGGATGTGCTGAGTTGGCTTGATCTCGAGGGGCCTTCAAGGAGCCTTATGAAAGGTACCCGAGGAGCAGAGGGCACCTCTCTGGGTTGTCGGTACCCGAGTACCAGACAGTTTCTGCGGCTCATCAGAAGCCAAGGGCAGAAAGCGAGAGGTCTCTGGAGCAGAAGGCAAGGTCTAGCTCTACTTGAAAGCGGTTGCTACAGCAGTGGCTGAAGGCCAAGATGAGTGGCAGTGACACACAGGGTCTCAGGCACTACTCTTGTAAATGACCCAAATGCCCTGATGCCACCAAAAGCCGTAAAATTCACTATGATGACCCTGAGAATAATTTCTAAGGTAAGTCATGGTTTTGGTATATTGTAGATTTCTTTTTTTTTTTTTTTTGAGATGGAGTCTCGCTTGTTGCCCAGGCTTGTGGTTCAGTGACTCAATCTTGGCTCACTACAGCCTCCGCCTCCCAAGTCCACGTGATATTCCTGCCTCAGCCTTGTGAGTAGCTGGGATTACAGGTACCTGCCACCATGCCCAGCTAATTTTTATATTTTTAGTAGAGACAGGGTTTCATCACATAGGTCAGGCTGGTCTCGAACTCCTGACCTCAAGTGATCCACCTCCCTCAGCCTCCCAAAGTGCTGGGATTCGAGGCATAAGCCACCATGCTCGGTGAGATTTCATTTTTTAAAATTTAAGACTTAACCTTTTCAGAGCAACTGTACAAGCAACGTACAAATAAGGGATGAAGACGTCAGCACCAAACTACACACTTATTCATTCCTGGGTTAATTCTGTGGCTCCTGTAACTATAGTTCTTCATTTTACTTTCTCACCTACTTGTACTTTGTCACCTGTTGTACTTGGAACCATAAGCCACCTTATACCCTTCTGTGAAAAAAGATTTGCTTATTTGGAATCGATTGCTGGCACCCAAGTGAATAACACAAACAACAAACCAAAAAACCCGTTTTAAAAAAGAGAACTCCAAAAGCAATTTACCATGCCCTTACAGGAGAAAAGGTGAATAAGGCCAAAGGAACCTTCTAGATGCTCTGTTGCTAGCCCAAACCCCACTCTCCATTTACTTGAACGCACACAGGTTTCTGCCAACTCAATTATTCAGGTCTTAAGGACCTACCAGCCTCCATCAACAAATTACCATCTGCTTGTCAAGGACAGGTCTTGGCAGACTTTTCATCTACATGCCTGGCATATAGCTGAAGTCAAATAAATACTTGTGTGGTTTTTTTGAGAAAGGGTCTCATTCTGTCGCCCAAGCTGCAGTGCGGTGGTGCCATCTCAGCTGACTGCAACCTCTACCGCCCGGGTTGAAGCGATTCTCATGTCTCAGGCTCCCGAGTAGCTGGGATTACAAGTGTACACCACCACGCCTGGCAAAATTTTGTGTTTTCAGTAGAGATGGGGTTTTGCCATATTGGCCAGGCTGGTCTTGAACTCCTGACCTCAAGTGATCTGCCTGCCTCAGCCTCCCAAAGTGCTGGGATGACAGGTGTGAGCCGCAGAGCCTGGCTTGAGATTAAATGACACAGGCTCCTAGAAACGTTTCCTGGGGAACGAGCTTGTGCAGTGCAGTGCTACAGCAGCTCCTCTGCGGGTCCACATGGAACTTGCAGGTCTGGGCAGTTGCACTTACAACAGCAGAGTATGGAATCAGCTTGATAATCATTTAAAACTCTCACCTATGAACATCTAAACCCCATTAAAACAAACATATCATTTGAAAAAAATAAAAAAGGCAGATTCTGATTTGATACGTTTCGGTGGGGGGCTGATGTCTAACGAGCTCCCAGGTGATGCCCGGCGGCTGCTGCCTGGGACCACCCTTGAGCTGTGAGGCACCCAAGGCCTGAAGAGCCTGGTGATGCTCTGACTGAGCCACAGAACTGAGGCACATGCAGAGACATGAGCAAGGTTCTCCCTGCCAAGGAATTCACTTTGGCAGAGAGGGGAATGAGGGTTTCTGACTGTTTGGCTTAGTATTTATTTCTATCCCAAAATAGCAGGTTGATCTTCTCCCCAGCTGACAAGCGTCCAGGCTGGTTTGAAGTGGAGATTGCTCCAGAGTGGGGTGGAGGGCGCTGCAGAGGGTGGCCACCTGCTCAGGAAGACCTGGGCCGCACTCCAAGTCTTCACTGAAGCCCTGGAGGCGCAGGAGGAGACCCTCCGGCAAGTCCCTTCCAGGTGCATGCTTGCTACAACACTAAGTCCAAGAGTGACAGAGTAAACGTTTCCTCCTTTCCTACTGCAATGGACAGATGTCATTCGTGAGGAGAAATAGGGTCAGTGTTCATATCTGGACACCAGCAAGAGGTCAGACAGCTTGTGACTTCATACAAAATGTTTTCATTTAAAACTTTATTTGTGGCCAGGCGCGGTGGCTCACGCCTGTAATCCCAGCACTTTGGGAGGCCGAGGCGGGTGGATCACGAGGTCAAGAGATCGAGACCATCCTGGTCAACATGGTGAAACCCCGTCTCTACTAAAAATACAAAAAAATTAGCTGGGCATGGTGCTGCCTGCCTGCAATCCCAGCTACTCAGCAGGCTGAGGCAGGAGAATTGCCTGAACCCAGGAGGCGGAGGTTTCGGTGAGCCGAGATCACGCCATTGCACTCCAGCCTGGGTAACAAGAGTGAAACTCCATTTCAAAAAAAAAAAACCAAACTGTATTTGTGGCCAGGTGTGGTGGCTCATGCCTGCAATCCCAGCACTATGGGAGGTCGAGGCGAGCTGATCACAAGGTCAGGAGATCGAGACCAGCCTGCCCAACATGGTAAAACCCCGTCTCTACTAAAAATACAAAAATTAGCTGGGCTTGGTGGCGTGTGCCTGTAATCCCAGCTACTCAGGGCCTGAGGCAGGAGAATCTGGGAGACAGAGGTTGCAGTGAGCCAAAACTGCGCCTGGGCAGCAGAGAGAGACTCTGTCTAAAAAAAACCTTATTTGTAAAATGTCCTTACTGCTGAAACTAAAACCATTACCAGGTTCTATTGCTTAAGAGTTAAGAAATCTTCAGAGATTTTTCGAAATCAATACTTCTCCCCAGCTGGGCACAGTGGCTCACGCCTGTAATCCCAGCACTCTGGAAAGCTGAGGCGGGAGGATCAAGAGATGGAGACCATCCTGGCCAACATAGTGAAACCGCGTCTCTACTAAAAATACAAAAATAAGCTGGGCGTGGTGGCTTGCGCCTGTAGTCCGGCTACTCGGGAGGCAGAGGCAGGAATTGCTTGAACCCGGGAGGTGGAAGGTGCAGTGAGCCGAGATCATGTGACTGCACTCCCGCCTGGTGCCTGGCAATGCATCGAGACTGTCTTTTTTTAAAAAAAAAAAAAAAAAAATTCTCTCCAAAAGCCTTGAGTTTTACTAGGATAACATTAAACAAAACAACTGATGCCCTACTTCAGAGGTCAGCAAACCTGTTATTCAAGAGCCAAAAACTATTTTTAGCTTTACAAGTCATCCCCTGTGGCAGCTCCTCCACTCGGCCGGGCCGGCCGTTACATTGCAAAAGCAGCCACAGAAGATATAAACAAATGGGTGTGGCTGTACTTCAATAAAACTTACTCACAAAAACAGAGTTGTCCACCTTTGCCCTCAGACTCTGAATCACAACTAGCACTTAACAGTTAAGGAAAAAACAAATAAATCTGATTTTTAATATAAGCAGAATTGGCCACGAAATGTTTAAAAACTGGCTTTTAAAACCATCAATGATCAGAAAAAAAACTGCAAAACCAAAACACTCTGAACTACTTACTACATATTATGTTTCTAATTTCTATAAAATGAAGAACTAGCGCTTAACATGGTAGCATTCCATTTAGAAAGGGCAGCTGAACCCCTTAGAATTGGGGTTAACATCACAGATTCTGATGTCAGACAGACCTGGGTTCAAATTGTAACTCCAGCCATGTTTCCCTAGGATTACTAATGCCCAAGGTATTACTAACTGCAAATCCGGGTTTCCCTAGGATACCTAATATCCACCTGCTTGGTCACTACCCCAGGCACACAGCTCGAATTAAGTGCTGCCTACGTGGCAAACTGGTAGCAATGCTTTTGGTCAGTGACTGAATACTTGCATCTAGTCACTACAAAATTTTAGAATTTGGAAAAGAGATTTGGAATTCTCTAGGTGCCTCTGACAGAAGTTTTGAACCTCAGCATTTCTATGTCAGATAGAAGGTAGGGAAGAAATATAAGCAGAATATGCAATCTGCAGGAGAAATCGGAAATATTTCGTAGAATTCTGTTTAGATGCAAACACTGTTGCAAACCGTATTTCTGTAAAGGCATAATAAGGGGACTGGAAGGATGTACAAAACCAGAGACAGCGGGAACCTCTGGGGAGGGAGCTCAGGTCGAGGAGGAATGATGAGGGTCTTGGATGTTTTCATCAACCCTACAGTGTTGCAATCTCAGCAAGATCACACCTGAGGATCACAGCATCATCTGGGGCCTCTACTCACCAGATGCCAGTAGCACCCCACTCCTGCCAGTTAGTACAATCAAAAATGTCTCTAGACACTGTCCAATGTCCTCTGCAGGGAGGGGAGCAAATCATCTCCATTTACAAACCACTGCTCTAGACCCTAGAGATCACTAGAGATTATAAAGACTTCTGGTCTCTAAGAAATACTTTTT